ACTTAAAAGACAACGCTCAACTGCATGCTAATTGATCATGTTCCAGCATTGTCTGATGTGCCATATTGTCCTTTCCTTTTTTATTTTCTGTCTTTAGACTTAAGCTGTTAATCCCAGGTCACAAAGTAGTCTATGAAAGTAATTTCATTTTCCCTTTTTGTGCAGTTTTTCCTGCACATAGTTTTCTACAACCTGTAAAATTAGAAATTATCATGGAAATAACTGGCGACCTCACAGGTCAAAAGGTGACCTGGAACCTAATGGTAATTATATCACATACTGAACACCTGTCCAAGTAATACAGAGATTGTGCTCATTCCAAGACATAACTGCGTATTGGGGGCTTTTGTTGAAAACTATATAAATATTCAGTAGAGCCCTTATCCCATCTTGTGCATGATGAGGTGACTGTTTTACTTTGAAGCATGCCCACTTCAGCATGAGGTCATTCTCAAAAGTCTCAAAATAAAATACCATAAGCATATTTCAGGCTTTTATCCTATAAGGTAGATGGGACCCAAACTGCACTTTAATAATGAACTAAATCTATTTACCTAGATGGTCCCATGCTGAGTTCTTTATTGTAACCTTGCTTATCTTGAAAAGAATATTCAGTCATCTATCTGGCTTTCAAGTTTCCATGTTAAAATACTTCCACATCAGGTAAGTACTGTTTTCCCTTCTGTTGTCTTCTGACTTTCTTAAATCGCCAATTTTTCAGATTTTCTACCTTCCATTTTAATTGTCATATTTTATATCCAAACATAACAAATTAATTAACATTTCTGGTCAAGAAATAGTAGTCTGTAAGATTACTGGTTTTCATGCCATTGCCTTTTTTGATTAGAGCAAGCTAGTACAGTTGTAATTACTGCCAACTGGATGTAGTTCCTAAGGTTACATCTGTGTTACTGAGCTGAAGAGGGCTTAGGCACGTACTTGAGCTCTACCATGTGATAATCCACACCCTTTAACTCTTAGTCTGCTTTTTGGAATGCTTTTGGCCGAGGCCAATAAGCACTCAGGTAAAATACTGCAGGATTTGAGGAACAGCATGAGTTAGAGAATCTTCTAATAGGCAGTACAAATGAGGCTACCCTGGCTCAGGAGAGCAGGTGGGTTAGCCAGGCAAATGTGAGCTGTCGTTTGCTACTGGCTCTTGACTGGGTTGTGGTGCATTTTCTTTTCTATGTGACCTAAGAAATCAAATGCAGCCAAAACCTGGTAAAGAGACACCCTCATATGATGCCAGTCCCAAACCTGATCAGAGGATGGGAGCTGTTGGTATGGAAGAAGGACAGAGCAGCGTTAGGCAGACTGTGACTTACCCAGGGCAGGCAAATTCTCAGCCTGTGAGTAATAATCGATCTTGGCTGCCTTGTGCTACCTCCAGCGAGCAAAACAGGGGTACAGAATCTGGAACCCTTCATATTTTCAGATCTTTTCTATATTTTTTTTCTGTATTCTCAATTGCCACTTCTGTTTGCTCTTTCTTCAACTATCTTTTCAAATAAATTATCAGATTCGTAGACAGTGGTCTTAAGACTTCCTTTTATTCAGTATTATTCTATGGGGAAAAAAAATTAACTGCTCAAGGAACTTGAAAAAAATCTACTTTCTTGTGTTCCTTTAAGATTTTCACATACTTTCAGAATATATTAGCAAAATTATACCAATTAAGTGGCTAATTAGGTTTTTTTAGATAGCATCACACAGTCTGAGAGCTCTCTTTCTGTTCTTTCTTTGCATGATGGCAAGATTAAAATTCTCCTTTCCAGTTCTGTTTCCTTTTCTCCAACGTCATACTTCACTAAACATTTTTTTACAATGGAATCTCTCTTATTCTATTGCAATGTTACTCTGAACCAGCTTTTTGCTATTACTCTTCAAACTCATTATTTTTCTGTCAATGATTTTCACACTATGTTTACACTTTTTCTGGTCTTTTTATTAAACCAGAAGTATTGTATGGTCATAAAGTCTTAATTTTAGATCTAGTATCTCCTTTTTTTCCTGATCACTATCAGATCCAGTTCTGCATTAATTCTTATTACTTCTTCCAGTTGTTTTAAGTACTATACAAAAATCTTGTAACCTATTTTGAAGCACCTCCTGCATGTAACTCAAATTCTTCTCTTACAGCTTTCCATACATTTCCATATATATACCAATATATGTATATGTATAACATGAATATAATATGTATGTATGTATGTATGTATGTATATATATATATATATATATATATATATATATGACAGTCATGGAGAGCCCCATAAACCTAGAGAAAGTCAAATGAACCAAACCTTCAATAAAATCTTCATGGATTTTGTTTCTTCCATTTTCATTTGTGAAATTATTTCTGTGTCTGCCAGCCATGTGATCTGCAGAATCTGCAAGCAGGGTGGTTGTTTTATAAATTATGTTTCCCTCACTTTTTATTCCTTATATAGCTACAGATAGTTATATTCTATTTATGTCTTAGCCAGTCCTGTTTCTAATGCAATCAAAGAACAATTCTTGGAATTTGTAGTGGTATTGCATCTCTCAAGACCACCTGTACCAAAGCTGTATTTATGAACAGAAAGACCTCTTTTTTCATTATTATTTCCTGCAGGACTTTATAGATTAAGTATGTTTTCACATCTCAATGTAGCAATACACTCAACTTTATTCTTCGCTGGCAAATGTTTCCCTATGGTTACACATATTCATTTGCTGAAATACCTTTCCTCTTTTGTTAGTATTTCCAGCTATGTTTTTCTTACTGTTCCTAATAGATTTAAAAATGAAGACATTTTAACTGATCTTTTAAACTGAGATTTTATCACTCAAAAATTGCAAATCAAAAATACAAAATTTGAGTATAAAAATAATTTTATCATCAAACTGCGAGTCTGAATTTTAGATTAGTAGTACTATCAAAAAAACAATAGTTTTGTAACTTAAGCTACACCAATACAGTACTCTCAAAACTAGTTTTCTAAACCTGTGCTAAGTCAGTTTGATGTACTTCCTTCTAACAATAATATGCCATTGTTAGAATTGTATTATTTTTCATGATGAGCAAGCCTTAGTCCATAACAATTCTGCTGTAAAATGAATACAAGTATTAAGTTACAGATTATTTCAGGATCTGTATTGCCTTATACTGTTAGTAGAAAAGACAAATCTTCAGCAGCCAGTAGTGACTTAACTGTATGCTGTCAATGTGCATCATTTGAGGATATACTGCAGAAAGCCCCATCATGTTTTACATGGGTTTTAATATGATTTTGTTTTCTATGGATAATTTTCATATCGTTTTTCTTCATAAACATAGTCGCAGTCGATGCAACTTATTTTGAGTAAAAACCTTACTGCTTCTACTGTTCAACACAAACTCCTCATTGGTGTAACTGTTTTAGAAATTCTGAATTTCCTCTGCTTTCTCGTCATTGTCTGTAATGTCATCCTCATGCTCAGTACACACATCTGGCAAAGATAGCTTTGTTAATGGCCTCAAAATTATGAAAAGTCCTGCAGGTAACTACACTACTTAAAAACTTTTAGGCACCATAAATGACATTCTCACTCACTCAATCATTTTCTAGTATATTACTATTATTAATGCCGTTATTATTGCAAATTATTGTAGGTATCAGAAGAGGCTACAGAATAATATTTTACACATATAAAGCAAAAGTTCTGAACATCACTGTTTATCTTTTATCACAGCATTCTTTTTACTGCAATCCAAATAATTTAGATTATCTAAAGAATATTTAGTATTCCTAAGAAAATATGTAGGTATCTATCACATAAAAAACAATAACTATCATGAAGTACTTCTACAGCTGAGCATGATTTTCAAAAATTCTGATTTTATACAACCTTTTACTTGTCTTTTTAAAAAAATTCAATCTTCTTAAATTGCTATCAATACAAAGCACTCTTTCCAATAGCATTTTTCTTTATATGCAAACAAATCTGAAAACATTTGCCATACCATTTATGAACACAGCATGGTTTCATTCAGATGCTCTTTTTAAGTTAGCATTCCTATATTGAACAAGTACCATAAGTCTTTATTTTTACAGGAATGTTCATCTCTGTCTATAGTTACTATTCCATTGATGTAGGAAGCAAGGTACTTTGATCCTCTGAAGGCACATGTAGCATAAAAAAACCTAAAATGCTGTCATGAATTGTTAAGTTTCTTCTCTGCTTTACTGGAAGTCCTAAAATAGCAGATCCATCCAGCATTTAGAAGTAAATATATTCTTGAGTATATATGTTCATGCTCAAAGCAATATTCTAGGCAAATGGATGCAAACATATGAGAAAAAAGGGATCAGTATTGGACCAAAAGAATTAGGAGAGAGACCAGTGTAGAAAGGAACCACAAACATAGGTTAACAAAAGGAACCAAAAAAAAGGGAGAAGACAGAACTTAAGAGAAGGAGAGATCTCTAACAGGTATAACCAAGAAAATATTACCAGCAGGAGAAAGAAAATAATTCGACCTTTTAATAATTACTGAACAGAAAAAGAAACTTCATCTTTTAGTTAAGTTGGACTCTACCAGTACACAGCTTTGTAAGTCTACCCCACTTTTTGCAAGTGAGCCGTGTAGGACTCATTTGTTAAAATAAAGACTAATGCTATATTTTATTAAACTTTTATGTCTTTAATATGGATTTTATACTCTTCACATTTCATTTTACATTTCTACAAACATCATTAAGTTACAATTACATTGGGAAACCAACACATTTTATATGAAGGCAGAAGAACAATATTTTTTGACAACTCAAACCATAAAAAAATTCATGAGTGCCATATTCTTCTTTTTCTATGTCTTCATTACAGTACTATCAGTCAAGAAAATACTGGTATCAGCATCAAAGGAAGGGTCAGCAATCTTCCACATCAGAAGTTAGGACAATACTTTCAACATGGAAAGCGGGATTGTCAGAGAGGTAGCAAGTGAAAAGCTTCAGAAAGGATGGCGGCTGTAAAAAGTCAGAAAAAAAAAACAAACACAAACAGGGAAAGATAAGATAACAAGATTGGAAAGGACAGGAAAAAACAATACACAGGAAATGGCAACAGCAACAATCATGTTTATTCTTACTGGAAACAGTATAAGAACACTGACAGAAGAGGTGAGGAATAAGGCAGCCAGTCTTAAAGAGGTCTAAAGAAAATATCTACTATGGCATGAAATGCTCAGTTATTTCTCAGTGAAGGTGACAGGTCACTTAACTTTTAGCTTGAATTAGTCAGTTCAGAGCAGGATTCCTGTGAAGTCAGCAAACTAAAATGGGTACCTCCAGAGGGCGATTCATCCCATCCTAAGGTCTGAATCTTAGACTCTGAATCACGTATTTGAAATGTAATTAATTTTGTGAAGTTCAGTAGGTATTTATGAAGCTAGCATCTTATCTTCAAGATGAATATTTATGGATAACATCTGGATTAAAATAATAAGTGATTCAGCATATTTTCAACTTCCTTTAATCTGAACAAAGAAAATGTACTAATGACTTTCATCTGCACAGAACATGTAATATGTTCGTGCTGCATAATATTTTTTACTACTGAACAGTACTTGTGTGCACTACACTGAGCACAAAAATAAAGTCTGACCCAAAAAAAAAGGAAGTTTGCCTTTCTGTTAGAACTAACTATGTACTATTAGGCTTTAAGTTTATCTGCTGTAAATAAAAATTTAAGCTTAACATCGATAGGATTCTCTATTCCAAACTTTAAGACACAATTCATTAAGTATCATATTTAACTGATACTTAAAATGGCACAGCTGGTATTTCAGTAATTTGTTACTAAATACAGTGAATGCTGCTGTGAAAAAATGCTGAAATACAATGTCATGATCATGGACACATTTTATAATGGTTATTTTGAACAAACTATAGTTAAATAAGAGTCATGGGTGAAGGGCTGCTTTTAAAGTTGGTATACAGCCCAATCTGTGCAGGAAAGTTCAGTGTGGAACTGGTCTGTGGAAACAACCTCTTCATATCACCTTCACCAGCTTGCCAGCCCAGATGCAGAGCCAAGACTGTGTGCTTACAGAACAGCAGTACTAAAGCATAAATAATCAGAGAAGGGGATGGAAAAGTGAGCTTTTCTCCTGGGCAGTGATCTGGGGGCTGGAAGACACCAAAGGACAGAAGTGCTCACCATTAGCACTTCCTTGTCAGTGTGGAAAGTCTGAGAGACATAGTCCTGGGACTGGAGTGGTCTTCCAGTAATGACTATTTCAGAATACAGTCATCTTGATACTGCCTATTACATGAGGACAACACAAAGTTGCCTGTTACAATGCAATTAAAAAGACACCTTTAAAATTTAAATAGACTTGGAATGGGAATTTGCACTGATCAATTTACATGATCTAAACCATTCTAGAATCATGCAGCATGAAATAGTGTAACATCAACGCAAAACAACATAATGGCAAAGGCTTAACTATAAAATAGACCAAAAAGTCTCTTATTTAGAACTTCTAAAAGTTTTGTCTGCATTTAATTTCATTTTCCTTTTAGAATGAACATGAAGAATACAGTTATGTTAGTTTTTCTGTATCCCTATCTTTACTAGGTGCCCTTATAAACTGTTGCCCAGTGACAGACATGGCACAGGAATGGGAACCCTATCACACAGCAATTTATAGCATAGTTCTTATGCTGACCTATCTCTATCAGCAGAAATTAATACACTACATTCCAAAAAGTAGATGTTACCATTCCAAAATTAATTGTGAACTGGTACCATAAGGCCTCTCCCTGCCCCACCCATTTTCACTCTCTGTCCCTTTCAGAGGGGATGTCACTCTGCCATACATCAGCTCAGGGCTCAGTTACACTGAAGTGTTGCTAAGGTGAACAGTTAAAATGTTTTATGCGTACCACTGAGCAAAGGTATGAAAATGGGAGATCCTTATTTCTGTAGTTAAAAGGGTTTTTTGCATGGTAATTCATGAAGACCAGTTATAGTCACTGTATGAATATTTGTTAATTGCTCAGTTTAAAAAGTATGGGATTTCCCTAAACATATACTCTTGCTATAATACTAAATATACTTATGGGAATCATGCAGAAACTAAGAAACATCCATGAACAAATTATGGAATGAAACTTTGTATTTGCAATTTCCTAATTTATTTTATTCTTTTACAGCTTATGGATCAAACCCACGCTGATGTCTAACCTGTAATGAGTGCCAATGTAAGTAATCCATTGTTCTACAACTAAATTTGATTATGAAGTGGTTGACTTTGCCTAGCCCTGCTGAGTAACAGTTAATGCAGTTTCTATTTTCAGTTTCAGTACTATTACAATTAGGTTTTACACAGAAATTCTGACACTCTTAACTGTTATTCCGTGCCTGCTTGTGCCTTTTCCCAAATGCTAGTGACTAGAATTATCAAAAATATGTATTTTAAAAATGGTTTTGATTTTTCCATGTCTAATAGTGGGTTTTTTAAGAGCTAACTTGGGAAGACAAACATTGGGGTAGTCATCATTCCAGCAGAATAATGAATTTTGTGGTTCAGGTTGGCCCTGAAAGTCAATTGCAAGCCTTCCTTAGAAGCACTGGTGCTAAAATAAAAATGCACAGTGAGTAAAATACAGCTCAGAACAGCAGTTAGAAAGCTGAAGTGTCACTCTGTTTTCCATGCAAACACAAAGCATAACATATCTGAGCACTATATAAAAAATACTACTGGAAATACTCACCTGACTCCTCTCTTTTATCCTATTATTTCTCCTATGCTCATTAAGTTTTTTCTCATCTTTCCTTTTGTAAAGGAGAATAATTTCCTTCTCCCCCTTTCAGTTTCTTCCTTTGCTTTTTCCTACTCACCTGCACAGCTTCTGAAATTTCAGAATTTAAAAGAGCTACAGATCCAATCCTGGGGTTAAATACCAAGTTCTGAAAGCTTTAGCATGGCTGAAGATCAATAACTAAAATTTGAAGTGTTTTTGTTCTCTTATTTCCAGCAAAGATATAAGAACACTAGAATAAAGTTCAGAAATGAATCTATTTAGATAAATGTAACCTTAGAATGAGATCACCATCCTATAAAGAGCCATGCTCATACAGCAAAACATAATGATTTTTATAAATTTGAACTATACCATTTTCTCTGATAACTTATTTTCATGTTTAGAGAAGGGCATGTCCACTTCTCTCCTTTAGTAGCCATTCTAAATTCTGCACACAATGCTTCAACAAATGAAATTATTCATATCTTTAAATATTTTTAACCACCTTATATAAGATATTTAGGAGATGAAAATAGCGAGAGCTAAGACTAGCATATTGTACACAAATATACATATTTTCTATTCTGTAACAATTCATAAACATTTATTACCTGCATCCATGACATACATTTTTAAATGCCAGGTCTTGTAAACATAAAATCCATCTGTATAGTATTTTTTAAAGTAGCTTAACAGCCATAATATCAAATGTTGTTTCACACATAGTATCAACATTTGATGTTTCATTGACACAGTAACAGGAAGCCAGCTCAGTGTAAGTTACTTTGTAGAAGATAGTGCCAGAACTTCAAGGGTTTACTTCTCAGGAATCATGAACTCCGGCAGTCTTTAAAGATAAAATGACATATGACAAACAATAAAAGTAAAGCAAATTTTTAGGGACCAGTGTTGACTAACTAAAATAATAATCTCTATATCCAGTATAGAAATCTGACCAAGGGAGAAACACAATAGTTTCCTTTGAAAATAATGTACCCTCTTAGAAAAAAAAACCCAAACCAACCAACACCCACCACCCCAAAAGTATGCTTTTTTTTTTACTATTGTTATGGTGATCTGGGTACATAATCTATTTGTATAGTCATGTGCTGACAGGATTATTAATTACCAAGTTCCAAACTTAAGCAGAAACCATGTATCTCATTAGCTAAGTTTAGTCACAGACATAAGTATGCAATCATAATCAATATTGAGAAGGAAAACTGTTAAATAAAAGCTTAAGACTTCTGAAAATATCTGTTCCAAAAAAATCCCACTGCATTTTAAAAAATGCCTTTCCTTTAAGGGGACATCCTATGACATTGATTTCAGTCTTTCTGCAGACTCTTTAGTCTTCATTAACAACTTTTTAGGGATCTGCAAAGTAATAATTAAGAAAAGCAATCCCACTGTCCATAAACTTCAGTTTAACACCAGTAGGTGCAATAATCTACTGGATTAATTTACTTTTAGAAAGATCATAGATCACAGGAAAATGCAAATGAAAGAGACTAGGCTTTAGAAATTCAAGACTTTTTATCCACTTTTTAAAAAGTAAGACAAACATTATCTAAAAGTCATAACTCATCATGTGGAAAAAACTCCATCATGTTCTTATGAGTGCTACAGGAAGGGGGAAAAGGAATAAATGAAATAAAATCTACACTCAGCAGATTTCAAATGATGGGACATGTCCCACTCAGAGAAGATGTGAAGTTACATTGTAAAGGAGAAGCATTACTACCGTGCAGCCAGCTTTCCACAGCATCTCATTTGAATCCTTTTGTATTCACTGGTGAAGCCAGGCAGCCAGCACTGTGTTCAGTCTGGGGCTCCCTCTCTACAAGAAGGACAAGGAGGTGCTGGAGCATCAGAGAAGGGCAACAGAGCTGGGAAAAGGTCTGGATCTTGAGTCCTACAAGGAGCAGCTGAGGGAGCTGAGGTTGTTCAGCCGGGAGAAAAGGAGGCTCAGGTGGACTTTATCTCTTTCTACAGCTGCCTGAAAGGAGGGAGAGGCCAGGTGGGGGTCAGTCTCTTCTCCCAGGTAACCAGTCACAGGACAAAAGGAAATGGCCTCAAGTTGTTCCAGAGAAGGTTTAGATTGGATATTAGGAAACATTTCTTCACTGAGGGGGTTGTTAAGCACTAGAACAGGCTGTCCAGGGCATTTAAAAGACATGTGAACACAGCACAAAAGGACACAGTTTAGTGGTGGACTTTTATTGATAGGTTTATAGTTAACTTGATGATCTTAAGGGCCTTTTCCAATCTAAAATATTCTATTCTGTGATTTATTTGTCGGTCTGCATCTGCAGTGTAGAACTCCACAGACAGGAGGCTGAAGAAAGTATAGTGAGACAGAAAACAAGCTTTAGATGTAAAGGATTTATAGGACCATTTGTTCCTTTGCATGTAACTGTTTCTGGTGAAAGCAGGAAAGTAGGTTTTTCACTTAAAAGGGTCATGTACAGAAGGGTCATGGAGAAGAAGATGAGGTTCCAGAAGACAGGTAAAGGTGTAACTAGAACAAGTGTGGGCATGAGCTAGAGTCAGACAGAGTGCTATAGCCATGTTCTCTAGTAAAAGTGATTTTCAACTGACCCAAGTGTATTTATTCAACTGTGATCTTTCCAACTCTTATTGATACTCCTTCTCTGATACCTATCCCAAATTTTTAATTCATGTGTGCTTATCCTCAGACCTAACCATACACCCCATCACTGCTTCTATATCCATATGCCTTGCCTGGACTTATAAATCCTGCTGTCCTGTCACTCACAGGTAAACTCAGGAAACCACCTTTTTCCACAGTGTAGCAGAAGTCACTCTCTCCTTCCTTAAAAGTTGCTTTCTGATACAAAGCAAAGATTCCCCTCAATCTCATATTCAGCTTGTTCAAAGCCTGACCAAAGACAACATCAGAATCATGTAAGCTAGCAATAGGTATTTAGCAAGATAATATAAAAACAAGCATAACTCCCTTCATTTCCACATTTGTATCAAAAGACATGCGTAAGAAAAATGGAACACAAAAAGGTTAAACAGAGCACCTGTTAACTTGCTCTACCCTTTAAAAAAACAACTGTCAGTATTTGTTTCTAGTGTTTTGTTTAAATTTCATAAAACACATTATAGTGATTTTAGATCAGAAAAATTATTATTTAAGATAAATATATTTGTGTCACTTGAATACAGCTTATAGTCTGGTGTACCTCAAACTTGACATCACAATTCCTAATAAAAATATGCTCAGAAGGTTGGAAAAGCTAACATCTCTACAAATTACTTACGGATGTGCTTGTATGGTACTCAGGACAATGAGAAGTAAACTATCAGGGCCAACTAAAAGCAGTAATAATAAAAATATTTTATGATGCTGGAAAATTTTCAATAGCAAGAAAAAAGTAATAGGAGACATGATATAAGAACAAAGAAACTTTTTACAATGTAAAATTATCATTCAGGGAAATAAATTTAAAGAAGTTGGTCAAATACAACTAGGATTTCTGAAAAAGTAACAAACAGGTAATAAGATATGTTAATAATTGTAAGGAAAGTGTACGCCCGATAATAATGACAGAATGGAAAATTCTAAAATCTGTTTTTCTAGCAATGAGAAATCAGGTTTTAATTCAAATAAGGATATATATTGTAATCTAGAGGAGTTGACAAGTTTATTTTTGTCAGATGAGGACCCAAGACTTGAAAAATCATACTTATCAGAAAACTAAATCTACTAGTAAGGAATATATATGAAAAGTAGGACTAGTGAAGAATTTTTGGGATACTCAAGGACAATGCAAGAACCCCATATTTCTGTTTCTGGGGAAGATGTGATGGGGACAGAAGGATGAATGCTGCCAGACTGCTCTTCCTGATTCCCTTCTGGGAGCTCTTGCTGTTGCTTCTTATGGAGAGGCACACAACTTACCTAAAACTGAGAAGGAAGGGAGTGCTCTCTACTTTTTCATACACTCCAGAACATTGGTTCCCACTTAGTTGTGAGCAACAGATCATTATCAGCTCTCAGCAATTTTCAAAAGCCACCACACACCCATCTGACAAAACTTTTAATTGGAAACACTATTTAAAGCACTGTTATGTTTTAGCCAAACACATGTTCAATTCACCCTGGCCTTGGAGTCCACCAGGGATTTGCAGACAACGGCTTGGAAACCATTCCAGCTGTTGCAAAGGTACAATGATATCTTCTACTCCATCCCTCCCTCCAGACCTTCTGGTTGCTGCATGAAACATTTCTGCTTCTTTATCTGATTTCCCCTGGGATTAATTTTAAGGGCTGTGAGTGCTTTTAGCTTCTGAATTAGCAGCAAACTGGCATTTGCCATTGCCCACAGGTTTGTGAACAGTAGATGTAAAACAGATCTGCCCATCGATAATACTGCTACTGCTAGAAAAAGGAACAATTAAAAAAAATACAGATTTAAGAAAATGAG